CAGCCTTCTGGCTTTTCGGTTTCCCGAAATAGTAACTTACCTGCAGAAAAATTTCATGGACCCGTGCGTACCAGGAAGCTGAGTTTGAACTCATTAGGGCTACGTAGACTGGGAACATCTCCTTAAAATTCCGGCTTTCTCGTTTTTCAGGTTTCCGAGTTAGCGACTTACCCGTAAATAACTTTCACGGATCCGTGCATGGGAACCGGCATACTTGAGGGCTGGCTTGAACTCCTTAAGATCTACGTGGACAGAATGCGTCTCCTTAAAATTTCAGCTTTCTAGCTTTTCAGTTTACTAAGTTAGCAAATTACTCGCAGAAGACTTTCACGGGTCTTTATGTGCATGTAGCTTAAGTTCCAAAGTTTCAGCCTTATAGCTTCTGTAGGTCTCGAAATGAAAAATCAGTACAGACGAAGATACAGGGATATCACACATTCATTCAGTTCATTACACCTGGAAAGGGATTTTATCGGCGATCTTTCCCATTTGAACCATGTTACTTTTTATTTTAGCATGCCACAATTTTGCTGGAGGAGGCTTTGTCCAAACGACAATGGTTAATAGCTCGTGATATTGTGCGTTTTCTTCGTGCCATCGATCCATCAGATATTGACGGTTCACCCCGTACACCACCATGCCAAAAGACACACCGTAACGTGGCCAATGTTGTTTCACGAATCCCAACGCGTATCTCCACCGATAATAGTGATGAAACAGATTCGTTTGTTTTTGGAAGCTACAGCGCTCCAGGTGCATTTCTACTTCTTGATTTTAGTGTTTTTTCAACCTTTCAGGAACTGTTTTGCAAATTTTCAAGCACATAATCTTGCGGACGGAGCATTTTTTCGAAAATATTATGGGCCCAAGAGGGAATCGAACCACTCATCTTCACATCCAAGCCGTGCGTGCTAGACCACTGCTTCCCCTGCTTGCCCTGTGCTGTGCACATACCTGCTGGAGCACTTATATTCTGTATGAATGGCATTCCCATGCATATTCTGTATCGTCTCTCTGCAGCACCCTGTGCAACACACCCTTTCAGAAACTGCCGGCTTTTCCCGGGACTTCCTCGGCTCATCAGGGGTTGAGGTGGTATTGTTTGCAAAAAATCTACAGAAAATGAAATAAGTAGCAACACGCACCAAACTAGCCGGTGCGATCATGCGTTTTGTGCAATTCAGCACATCGAACGATTGTCTATTAATAATTTTCACTGCTTTGTACTTTTGTCTATGCAAAAATAGTTCAGAAATTGGGAAATAGTTAAAAACTTCACGCACCAGCGCAAGAAAGCTGAATTCGAAACCTTGAAGGGTGAATATCTTTCCGTGATTCCCTAGTTAATAGTTTAGCCGCCAAAATTCTCACCAGGCCGTAGGTGATACTCAACAGCGAGGAAACGCTGAATTTGAATAGGCAAGGTTGAGCATGGGCAGGGAGTTATTACTAAAATTTCAGCCTCCTGGACTCCGTGGTTCTTGAGATATTGACTTACCCGTAAAAAACTTTCACGGGGCTGTACGAGATACCCGCGGGTATGGGAAGGCTGAATTTAAATTTGTCGTTGGCGGGGGAACACTGTACCAAAATTTCAGCCGCCTAGCTTTTGTGGTTCCCGAGTTGAAAGTGCGGGACAAAAAGTGGGACACACACAAACACACACAGACAACCCCTTGACAATATGCGTTTTGTAACGCTGTTACACAGCACAACACGTATAAAAGGGAACGGTGGTAGAAATGTGTATCGATATGAATCTATGAAGAGTGCCGAAAGTTGTGTATGCGAGAATGCCAGCAATGCTTTTATAGTAATTACATGTAAGAATGGGGGATCGAATTTGAGTACAGGACATTTGGGCGTTCAAAAAGGGAATAGAAGCACCCAGTCTCTGTTTATCAAATTAAAATGAGTAATTTAAAAGGGTGAATTGAAAAGGAGAAAAATTTTTGTTTCTGTTTAAACAGTAAAAAGGGGCTCCAAATAAATTTTTTTCTGTTTGAACAGTAAAAAGGGGCTGCAAAAATTTCAGGTCTAATAACAAGACCACGCTTTTCGCAACAAGAAATGGTTGGGAGCGGGGCTGTGGGGCGAAAAGACTCATCAGGTCATGCTGCTAGCAAAAAAGTACAGAAAATGAGTTCATCCGATGCACCGCTCAGTCCGGGAATCGTCGCTGGCGTCGTATCCACATATCTCGATGATGTACTGAATCGACATGCTGCTCATCTGCTCGAGGATTGCAGCATTCGAGATCTAGGTTTGTCGTTCATTTTGACCTGGGTTGGATAAATTGGTACCTTAATACTTCGGACAGCTTTGGTTTCGAATCTGGTCATCCAGCTCTCCATCTGGTAACTTTTCCAGTTTTTCTGACCAATGCTGCACTGTCTGGTAGTCAGCCTGCTGATGACCCTGAAGTTCATTTCGTCACGTGAAAGGATTTTCAAGGGGCTTAAGATGTTTGGAAATGTCATTGGTGTCTGTTGAGCATCA